CCCCCCCCCCCCCCCTTTAGGGAAAAAAAAACACCCCCGCGCGCCCCAAAAAAAGGGGTCCCCCCCCTGGGTCAACACCCCCACCCCCCCCCTTGAAGGGCCCAAATACCCCCTCCCCCCCTGCCCCAAACCGGGTCGCGGGCGTCGTACCGAGCGCATCGAGACCGTGTCCTGATGTGATCTGCACGGGTGAGTCACGTCAGCGTCAAAGGAGCGACGTGCGACCTGTCAGAGCTTGATCTCCAATCTCAGCTGCCTCTGTGCGTCCTGGGGAGGGACAAAATTGTCGCCGCCGGAGACGACTCGACGCCGCTGAGATTGGAGATCAAGCTCTGACAGGTCGCACGTCGCTCCTTTGACGCCGACGTGACTCACCCGTGCAGATCACATCAGGACACGGTCTCGACGCGCTCGGTACGACGCCTGCGACCCGTCTCGGGTCAGGTGGCACGACGCTCATCGCGCCTACCAGCGCTGCCGTACAGGCTGCCACGACGAGGTCGAGCACGCTTCTATACGCTCGCCGAGCCTTCCTTTCCATCCAATTAGGCAGCCTGGGAACGGTGGCGGTCAGAGGCAAAGCCTACGAGGGGTGGTGGAACCACATGTCACGGCTACTGCCGGCGGCTCGACCCCACGATAGCCTCCGAAGGCTGACTTTGCGGCACCATCATCGGACGATGTCGACGAGTTGGGTCGCTCTCGCGGTAGCCAGATGACCTCTCTTTCTAGGAGCATCGGCCATGGCCGCAGGGAGCGCGGGGGAGGGCGCTGGAAGCAACACGGAGCTCCGTTGGAGACGTTTTCAAGATTAGCGTGTCAGAGTGAAATGGCACTAGCCTCTCTGACATGAAGTTTACTGACATATAAGACGTAGCTGACGTCTCTAGACTCTACGAGCAACATCGAAGCAAGGCGCTATCTCAGCTCTAAAAGAAGCGCGTTCGCCCACGCGCGCTTGGCGCGTGCGAGAGAGCTGTCTTCTTGTCATCGACTGCAGGAGGTGTTGCACAGTCGACGCGGGAGGGGTTGGGTGAAATCTCTCAGGTTACTCGCGAAGTCGCGCTTCAGCCCCGGCGGACTCCAGCATAGCGTGCCTGCTGCGCCTCGCCGCAACCGATTCCTCCCCCGCGGCGCGAAACAGACGCAATAACCGGTCGTCATCGCCGCGGCCCGCCACCACCATTCGCACCCCTCTTGCCTCCAGCTCCGCCTCGGCCCGCAGCACCGCACCTACCACGCGAGATGGTGGGGTCACGACCCTCCCCCCCCCCCCCCCCCTTCCCCTGCATGGGCAGAAGCGTGTGCGCCGACGGCCACTGAGCAAATCACGAGTACCGTCATGAGAGCGCCCAGCGCACCGCACCAGCCGCAGCCGCAGCAGCCGCCGCGACGCCTCTCGTCAGCCCTGCGCAGCGTGCGGTCGAGGGCCTGTTCGAAAGAGAAGCGTCGGGGCCTCAGCCACACACGGTCGCGGCGCATAGGCTGTATGACGAGTTTCGCCAAATCTCGCTTCAGCGCTGCAAAGAAGGAAGGGGCGTCGCTCGTGGCAGCCGCCTCGCGGCCTTTGCCTAAGGCCGATCGAGCGCCGGATACCCGAGAAGGTCGGGATCCCCGCCACCAAGCCCGTGTTGCCGCCGTCGCCCTCCCCCTCGCCAGCTCGCCAGCCGGATGCGGTCGGCAGGAGGGGCAGCTGGGCAGCACGTGAGGCTGCAAAGTCGCGCTTGATCAGCCTGCCGCCGAGGGGCGTATACTAAGAGCAGCCCCTCGGGCACATTTAGGGGAACCCGTCTACACCTTGGCCAAATATCAGCGGCATATGCCATCTCGGCCAAGCGTCGCGGCTAAGCGTCTCGCCAGTAGACGGAAACATAAGGCCCGTAACGCAAACAGTAGTCGGCAGGCCCTGACCACAGCGGAGCCCCGGCAGTACTCGGTGGCTTGGGCAAGCGGGCGAGAGGAGCGAGCGAGCCCGTGGGGTGTAAAGAGCGAGCGAGCGGATTGGGCGTGGGTTCTGATGGTATATGGCGACATGGCTCCATTACCGGCAGAGAGCCACGCGGCGGCGGCGCTGAGCCCGAGCCGCTGCAGCGCCGAGCAGAGGAGCACGAATGGAAGCACCAACAGCACTGCCACCAGCGGTGCCACGTAGCAGAGCGTGCGAACCTGATTCGCAGCGGGCAATGTCACTGAAACAGGGGCTGCCCACGGCGGTGCGTCGTAGCAGAGCTCTCACCGCTGCTGCACTCGCCGCGCGAAGGAACCTGAGCACGTGGGTCGGGAGAGAAAGTGTTCAACAAAAAGGGTCCTATGATCATATACGCGGGGCTGCCCAATGCGCGCGGCACCAGAGCCACGAGAGGCGCGTCGTCACGCAGCGCGCGCGGAGATCGAAGTAGGCGAGCGCGGTGAAGGTTGCCATGCAGACTAGCTCGCGCGCCTGGCATGGGAATTGCACCGGGAGACGGCACAGCCTCAACATTGCTGCAGTGGGATGATTGGCAATGCCAATGGGCAGGCATTCATGCATCTAGCACAAACCGCGTCGCTCCTCGCCTCTGACAGGGCGGCTTGATCGTAGCGCGACAGTACGACCCGGCCGGGATCGTCGGCGTCGTCTCCTCCGGTCAGGGAGAGCGCTCCGACCACGAGGAGTAGAAGCAGGCCCGCGCAGCCACACCCGGCCGAGAAGAGTAGTGACGAGAGCTCTACGCCGGCGCGTATGTGCCGCAGGAGCACCCAGCGCTGCGGCCGCGGCTTGACGAGCTCGGAGAGTGTGTACGCGATGGCGACGGTAGGCAGGAGCTCCAATGCGAGCATTGCAGGCCAAGTCCCAAGCGGGCGCGGAAAGAAAGAAAGCGAAAAAACTGGCAAGCTCCAAAAAGCGCCACTTGAATTCTTTTACGCAGAGAGAGTTCTTTTGTTGCCTGTCTGCTGTGAGAGAGAGTTCGCTTGTTTAAATTCTTTTACGCCTATGAAACAACGCAAGGCGGGCACACAATGACGCTTTCAAACTCGGTGTCGAACCACCAACTCATTTTATCGAACCACCAGTCCGACGCTCACTACGGTGGGCCTTTTCTTTAAGTTGTTTCTAACTTGCGTGTCAATAATAATAATAATTGTGTGTCCGCCTTTCACGCCGGCACCCTTCTCTCCTAGGCCACCCCTCCCTGCGATCTACGTGGTGATGTCCACTCCTCCAGGCGCCGACAGCGCCCCATCCCAACCACTCACTGCTCCGCCCTCGCCGCCGCTTTCCGCTCCTCTGCTGCAGCCATCGCCGCAGCCGACACCATCGACGCAGCCGCAACCACCATCATCACCGCCCTCGCCGCCACCCCATCCACCGCCGCCGTGGCCACCATCACCGGCACCGGTGCCGCCATCCGCGCCTCCACTCCAACAACCGCCGTTGGTTCCGCCACCAGCGCCGACGCCAGAAGCGCCGCCGCCACCGGAAGCGCCGCCGTTGCCTCCGCCCTCCCCTCCGCCCTCTCCTCCTCTGCCGACGCCGCCGGCATTGTTGCCGCTGCCGCCGTCAGCAGCGCCTGCCGTGTTGCCCTCGCCTACACCGCCGCCGCTCACACCTCGCCCATTCCCACCCCCACCGCACCCTCCCCGGAATCCACCCGCAGGACCAAGCGAGGAAGGGGTCGGAGGAGCTGAACCCCCACTCCAGCAGCCATCACCGCCACCGCCGTCACCGCCGCCACCGACACCACCGCCCCCAGTGCCGCCGCCGCCCTCGCCGCCGCCGCCCTCCCTCTCGCCGTCACCACCGCCCTCCGCCTCGCCCTCGCCGCCGCCCTCCCTCTCGCCGTCACCACCGCCACCGCCGCCCTCCGCCTCGCCACTACCGCCGCCCTCGCCCTCGCCCTCGCCACCACCGTCGCCGCAGCCGCCTCCGCCTGCGCCGCCGCCTGCGCGACCGCCGTCGCCCTGTGGAGTGGAGACCTGCACTGATGCGATCTTGGAGCAGATCGCTCCTATAGATGATAACTTTGACGCCACCTGCGGTGGTCGGATCGAGTACCTGCGGCAGTTTGGGAAGGATGGCACAATGAACACTGGAGATGAGCTCTCTGAGCTCGAAGCGTGCCAGGAGGTCGCGGCGGTAGAGGAGGTGTTGGCCTGCGGCGCGTGCGCGCCATACGGAGCGCCGCCCGCGCCGCCGAACGTGTGCAGTGGGATACTGTGCGATGGGGAAGGCGACGGGCCCTGCGGCTGCGACCCGTGCCCAGCTTGCTGGCCGTCACCACCTCCCTCCCCTCCCTCGCCGCCGCCCTCACCATCACCGCCGCCGCCGCCACCTTCGCCGCCGCCGCCGCCACCGCCGTCGCCGCCGCCGCCGCCGCCTCCACCGCCCTCACCGTCGCCGCCGCCCTCGCCGCCGCCCCCGCCCCCGCCGCCGCCGCCACCTTCGCCGCCCCCGCCCCCGCCACCATCACCGCCGCCGTCGCCGCCCCCGCCCCCCTCGCCACCCCCGCCGCCTCCACCCTCGCCGCCCTCCCCTCCACCGCCGCTAGGTCCGCCGCTCGTGCCCGTGGGAGACCCGAGCCGACCGCCGCCGCCGCCGTCACCGCCGCCGCGCCCTTCACCACCGCCACCCTTGCCGCCGCCGCCACCCTCGCCGCCGCCATCACCAGCGCCGCCACAGCCCCCGCCGCCGCCCCCGCCGCCGCCGCCGCCGCCGTCGCCAGCACCCCCGCCGCCGCCCAACTTATCGCCGCTACCTTCCGTGTCCCCAGCGCCTTGGCCACCGCTGCCGCTACTGCCGCCACCGCTGCCGCAACTGCCGCCGGCGTCGCCGCTGCCGCCGCACCTGCCAGGCGCCTTCCTGGCCGACGACGAGCCGGCGCAGGCGCCGCGGCAAAGCATGGTGCCCGTGGCTGCCGGCGGCGCCGCCGCCGCCGTGGCGCTCGTTGGTCTGCTCGCGGCGCTGGCGGTGTGCTGGAAGAGGTCGCGGGCGCGCGCGCGGCGTCGCGCAATGATGCAGTCGTCTCATGGGCAGCTCAAGGTCTGGGTGGACGACCCCTTGGCCACGAGGCGTTCTCCCCCCCCCACACCACACACACACACACACCACCCACACACCACCACCACAACCGCCGCCGCCACCACCGCCGCCACCATCACCACCACAACCACAACCACAACCACAACCACAACCACAACCACAACCGTCCCCCCCCCCCCCCCCGCACGAGCGTCCGCAGGAGGACTGACGGCGGCGAGCTCCTGCGGGCGACCAGCCCCCGCCACACCGACACCGAGTCCTCCCTCGCCCCCGAGGCCTCTAGGGAAGCACCGCTGGGCCGCGTTAGTGTCCAGCCGCCACCTGAGACGGGGGCGGCCGACGCCTCGTCGCGCCGCTCCGTCAGCAACGGCACCACGATTGAGCTCAGCATCCGAGCGGACTCGGTGACGACGCTGTCGCCGCTGGGCAGGAAGGGGAGCGTGCGGCTAAGGGGGCCCTTCGCCTCGTAGATCTTTTCACTCTTGATTTTTGGCGAACATACTCTCCAGCTCACATACGTCTGGCTCCGACCTCCGTCGTGGGTGCGTGCGCTCTCCCGCTCTGCGCATGCCGCATCGCGTTTCGTGCGCTCTGTTTCTCTCAACTTCTCCAGGTCGCGCCGCTGGTACGCTTGGAGGTTGGAGCTTGTGTATATTTTGTGCGTGCACATACTCTATTAATTTCATATTTTGCGATCTGCAGACTGCACCAGTATTACGATCAGACACATGATGCCATCACAGGACAGTCCAGAAGTCTGCGTGTGACCTCGAGTAGCTCCCTTTTTCGTAACAGGAACAATTTTTTCTGCGTGTGACCTCGGGACATACACATCACGGGACTGCACAGATTCAGTCATCCACCACTGCACACCAGCTGCTTTGCGCTGCGCACAGGGACCAAGCAACGCGCAACGGGCCCTCTCCACAGCCATCACGCCCATGCCTCACACCGCCAGATCCGCGAGATCCGCGAGCTACTACCGCTCTGCGGCCTCCGTCCTGCATCCACTAGGGCTGCTGGGCACCTCTTCCCAACTCCCCTCGCCGCACAAGGTGCCATGCCCCCCCCCCCCCCCCCTCTCCCCTTGAAGCCATGCCACTCCCCCATCCATGCAACCGGATCGCCGAGCGTCACCTCCTCCCGCCTCGCGATCCTCTCCCCCGCCGCCTCATGCTCGTTCACCCCTCCCCGGATGCGCCGCTCTCATCGACGCCCCTCAAAGGAGCCTCAGAGGAGGAACCCGTACTCCAGGGCCTACGCGGAAGCTTCCGAGAAGCGTCCCGCAACGCTCGCGGAGGCCTCCGAGACTCATCGCCTTCATCGCGACGCCTCGCGCGCCCACGTGTCCATCTCGTACCACCGCGGGCGGCCGCGGCCGGACGACCTCTCCGGCTCCGGCGGCGCAGGCTTGGGCGGGGCCTACGCGGAAGCTTCCGAGAAGGTTCCAAGAAGGGTTCGAAAGGGGGCCCGGCGCTCTCTCCGGCGCCGGCGGCACAGGCTGCTACTGCCACTACCTTACTTCTGCTACCACCCCCCCCCC